CCAAGTTGGGTACCACCATGTCCACAATAACTGATTTAATTAAATCTTTTGGAGTTTTTTCAGGATATAAGGTAAATAATTCTAAATCTGAAATAATGTACTTATCAGAAAAAGAACGTCTCAATCCGCCAGTTTCAACTCCTTATGTAGCGTCCAAGCAAGGATTTACCTATCTAGGTGTTAAAGTTACCCCTACAATAAACGATATCATTCCAACTAATTATAACCCCCTTACGGAATCAATTATGCAATTAATAGAACGATGGTCCAAACTACCCATTTCTTTAATAGGTCGCGTTAATATTATAAAAATGACAATTTTGCCAAAATTTTTATATGTTTTCCAATCAGTTCCACTTTCCCCACCCCTCTCCTTCTTTAAGGAGATAAATAAAACTTTTTCCAACTTCATCTGGAATGGTAAGCGTCCTAGAATAAGACTGTCCCTTTTATATCTGCCTTATGACAGAGGAGGTTTACAACTGCCAAATTTATTATGGTATTTCTGGGCAGCCCAGATCAGGGCAGCTATGTTTTATTTTATTTCTAGAGAGCCCCCAGCGTGGGTTACAATGGAGTCCCAGCTAATCCCGATTCCTATAAACTTATACTTGTATTCGTCAGACAGAAAAAAGCTTATTAAAGAAACAAAAAACCCTTTTCTGAAAAATACATTGCTTGTCTGGCAAAAAGTACTTGATTATTTGGGAGAAAAGCAACAACTATCCCAATTTTCACCCATTTTTGGAAATAGGGACTTTGGTCCAGGTAGAGCAGACCCAGGTTTTAAACTGTGGTCTGCTAAGGGTATAGCTAAGGTATCTGACCTTTTTACAGGGAAAGTATTTATGTCATTTGAAGACCTTAAAAACAAATATGATATTCCTACAAAACATTTCTATAAATATCTTCAAGTTCGGAGTTTCATTTTATCCAAGCAACAAAATAATCTTGTTTTACCCTCTTTGTCTTCATTAGAAGGCATTATTGTAAATCACCTATATGACAGAGGACAGGTGTCTCTTCTTTATTCCTTGTTTGTTGACAAATGTAAAGAATCTTCGGTCAACATCCTAAAAGCATGGGAAGCGGACTTGGGAGAGAGCTTGTCGAGTGAGGAGTGGTCCAAAGCCTGCACTTCAATTCATGCACAATCTGCTAACACAAATTCTAAATTATTACAATACAAATGGCTGACTAGGCAATACATCACTCCAGTTAAATTGCATCATTTTAACCCTAATATTCCTGACACGTGCATTAAATGTACTTTCCAAAAAGGTTCTTTATTTCATTGTATGTGGGCGTGTCCTCAGGTGTTGGCATTTTGGAAGGATGTGTTGATTGTGATTGGTCAAATGATTGGTAAAAAGGTTCCTCTGAATCCTAAGATGTGCATCTTGAATATTTATCCTGAAGACTTTGTTATCCCAAATAACTTGAGATCCTTACTTAATGTCTCCTTTTTGGAAGCTAAACGCTGTATTGCACTCTCTTGGAAGAAAGGGACATTGTGTGGAATTTCACAATGGACTACACAAATGACGTTCTACTTTGCACTTGAGAAAATCAGTTATTTTACTAAGAACAAGCTTGATAAATTTTGGGTGGTCTGGTCTGTCTTTTACACTTGGCTGTGCCAAAATGATATCCAACTCGATGGTTGGAAGGGGGATTGGTTATAAGGTCATACGCTTAGTCAAACTGATGTTTTTGTTGATGGGTCTATTGAGAGTCTGCTGCAAAACCCTTTTTTTTTTTTTTTTTTTTGTCTGGTCTAAGGTCTTCTTTTTAAGTATCTGTAAGTGATTGTCTGTATGTTTCTTATTCTCCTGTTAAAATCAATAAAAATATGTTTAAAAAAAAAAAAAAAAAGATCATCCCCCGGCACCTGCAGTTAAGTCTGTGGCAATAAGGGGCTTTGCAGGCTGCTGGGAGAAATGGCCATTGCTTAGGGAGAAGTTCTGCCCAACATTCAGGCAGTCCTGCTGCCCAAGAGGACCGAGAGGTCTGTTGGGTCTGGGTGGACAGATGGACATCTGTAGCCAGTTTCTTCGGGTCTGCTGTGGGACCGACTGCTACAAGAGATCCTTCCTGCCCAAAGACATCAGCATCTAGAACAATTCTATTGAAACCAAGATGAGCTACAACAACAATTATTTTCCCTTTGGGATTAATAAAATATATTTGAATTTGAATATCATTAGTAACTTTTACTAGTGCTGTTTCTGTGCTATGATGAGCTCTAAACCCTGACTGAAACTCTTCAAACAGATTAATTCTTTGTAGATGTTCAGCAACTGACCTGCAACTATTTTCTCTAGAATTTTTGAGATGAAAGTTAGATTAGATATAGGTCTATAGTTGGCCAGAATTTCTGATTCAAGGTCAGACTTCTTAAGTAAATGTTTAATTACAGCAACCTTAAAGCTCTGTGGTACGTAACCATCCATTAAAGACAAATTAAGTAGATCCAAAATGTGGACATTAATTAGGGGAAATACCTCTTTAAACAGTCTGGTTGGGATGGGATCTAGCAGGCATGTGGATGGTTTGGATGAGGTTATTATTTTTTGACAATTCAGAGCTCAACAGGACAAAAACTGTCCAAACATAAATCAGGCACTAGTGAAATTTTTAAAGTTGTCTCATTTGACAGGGGACTAGAGATAGTAGAAGGAAGGATGGTTTGAATTTTCTCTCTAATTGAAATAATTTTATTTATAAAGAATCTCATGAAGTCATCACTACTTATAGTTGTAGGGATACATGGTTCAACAGAAATGGGACTTTTAATTAGTCTAGCAATAGTACTAAACAGAAACCTAGGGTTATTTTTATTCTCCTCTATTAAAGACGAGTAATATAAAGTTCTAGCTTTACGGAGAGCTTTTTTATATGTTAGCAGACTATCTTTCCAAGTTAAATAAAATTCTTCAACATTAGTAGAGCGCCATTTTCTCTCCTGGTTTCTAGATGCTGCTTTAAAGTACGTAACTCAGAATTGAACCAAGGAGCCAGTTTCCTCTGATTGATTACTTTCTTTTTCAGTGGAGCAATTTTATCAAGTGAAGTTTGCATTGAAGTTGTAAGATGATCAACTAGATGATCTTAGTCTCTGTTCTCTGATGCATTACTCTGCAAGACAGAGGAAAACATTGATGGAAGAGATTGTTTAAATTTGGTTACAGCATTTTCTGATAAGCACCTGCTGAGATGAAATTTACTCTCAGTGACTGTGTAGGCATTTAATGTAAACTCAAAGGTTATTAAAAAATGGTCGGACAGAACAGGATTTTGAGGAACTATTACCAAGTCCTTAATCTCTATACCATAGGTCAGAACTAAATCAAGAGTGTGATGATAAGAATGAGTAGATGTGCGGACGTTTTGGGTTAAACCAAATATATATTAATGTATACTTAAATAAACCCTTTGTAGGTTGATTAGGTTACCATGGCTGTGCTGCATTTGGATACACCCATCAGTCTGAGAAAGGGATCAGTATGTGACAAACTAATTTCAGAGCAACAAAGTCCATGCTCAATATTTCAGGTATTCAATCAGAGCACTTTGATTTGATTTTTAAAATGAGAACACAGTAGTTTATGCACAAGATTTATTTTATGCTATTTTCTACCTGTTGTGCACTGGAAGTGCTGTACTATGTTCCAACATACATTATATTACGGACTGTAAGCATTAGTTTTTTTTTTTTAATAAACAATACAATTATGTTATTTATTTGTATTCATGTTTGTTTTTTCGTTTCAGTTTAATACCACAATTTGTACATAACTTTTATAATTTTGTCTGTATAAAATAATTAAATACTACATTTTCTGATCAGTTAATTACATTTTTAGGTCAAGGTCAAGGTTTTTTATTGTCATTCACATCACACGTGGTACATGAGGTGGAACAAAACTATGTACACAGGGTCCCAGTTACATCCAACAAAAATACAAATTGTAAAGAAAAACATTAGTAAGATCCAAGACATGAACTAAGAAATACGCTAAACTAATAATACACTAAGCACTAATAGTATAAAACAATGTGGCAAACAGCAGCATGAACATGAGTCTGTGTGAGCAGATGAGGACGAATGAACACAGCAACATGAAACAAATCAGCAGCAACATGAAACAAATCAGCAGCAACATGAAACAAATCAGCAGCAACATGAAACAAATCAGCAGCAACATGAAACAAATCAGCAGCATGAGATCAGCATCATGGATTATTATTTTATTTTAATCATCTCAACATCTTATTTTCAAGATGTCTTATTTTTCTTATCTTATTTTCAGATGTAAAGATATCTTATAATCAACATCTCATTTTAATTAACTACTTCAGTAGCCTTTTAAGGAGGAGCTTATTTATAACACAGGAACATGCTTAAAGTCTGAATAACTTTAACATGAAGATAATTATTAATTATTTAGTTTAATAAAATCAAGAAGAAAGTCTTGTCTTTGACTTAAAATTTCCGTTTGGGATTATTTTTGCATTTGAAACTGAAGCAGGATCAGAAAAAAACAAAGAAACAGTGGATCATGACGTTTTCACGTCATTTTGAGAGTTTTTTCCTTGAATCTCTTTCACTCTCATGCGCTGCTCATTCAGTTGCGCGCGCGGGTCATACGATCTCACTCGCGGGTCTGTACGTCCTTCTTTTGTCCAGTATGGCTAGTCATACTCTTCTGCTCCTCGGAAGGAGCGTGTAAGCGAGCTGGTGTGCCATGCGTGCTGCAGCTGTAACATCCGCTCCACAGACTGGGTCCGCCAGGCTAAGGGGAACGTCTTCTCTCCTTGTATTTTTATATATAATCAAAATAAAAATGTGCAATGACTTTGGACTTTTAGGGGCGGAGATTTTAGTTGCCGGATCCAAGCAAACGGTTACCAGAACACAAAGAGTTCCAGGATCTTGTTCCGGCAGGATCTGGCGCAAATTAACCCCTGCATGTGGTCGTTCTGTTTGTTTTCACCAGCTGCAGAGCTTCAGAGCATTTTGGAGCCTTTCCTGCTCCGTAGAGTTAAATCAGAGGTGGCTGTTGATCTACCCAAGAAGACAGAGCTTGTGGTGTACCATGGCATGTCAGCTCTGCAGAAGAAATACTACAAGGCCATTCTGATGAAGGATATGGGTGAGTCTTGTGTGCTGTAATATTCACATGATTTGGTGTGACAAAGGTACTCCCAACTATCTACCTTTCAGAGGCTTTTGGAAACGAGCACAGCAGTCAGAACAGGCTGCTGAACATCTTGATGAACCTAAGAAAGTGTGTTGACCATCCATATCTGTTTGATGGTGAGACATGCTCAGTGAAAGTCAGATGTTTAAGAGGCTTATATATTCTAGATGTGATAAGCTGTATGGTTTTTGTCCATGTTTCCTCTTGAGGAGTGGAACCTGAGCCCTTTGAGATAGGGGAGCACCTAATTGATGCCAGTGGAAAACTTTTCCTCCTGGACAGCATGCTGACCTTTCTGCACAAAGGGTAAGTATGCCTAACTCTATGTGGCTCCACCTGGTGGCCTTTTAGGTTCACTTTGTTTAAACACTGGCTCTAATTTTCAGGGCAGCTGTGGCTGAGTGGTTAGAACAGTCGCCCTCTAATGGGAGAGTTGGGGGTTTGATTCCACCACATGTTGAAGTGTCCCTGGGCAAGACACTGAACCCCTCATTGCCTCTGATGTGTGTCCTATCGATGTATGAATGTGATCTAAAGATCTGATTAGTCTCTACAGATTCAGATGATCTTTGTAGAGATGTAGTAGAGTGATGTATGAATGTGTGTGGAGGTAAATGAGGGCGCAGATTGTGTTGTAAAGAGCTTTGTGTCTTAATTAGATAGGAGCTGTATAAGTACAGTCCATTTAATGAAATGAATACTTACATGGACACTGATCTTTTGAGGTGGGATTCTCTAGGAAGAGTATGAACAATTACTATCTTACCTGTTGTAGTAGTACTCAAACAGGGACAAAATCGAAGAATCCCAGAGCTTGTCTGGTTACAGTTTTTGTTCTTGTTTCTGTTGTTTGAATGAAGGGGCCATCGGATCCTGCTGTTCTCCCAGATGACAAGGATGTTGGATATTCTTCAGGACTACATGGAGTACAAAGGTGGAGCATCCTCTGTGCTATCTTCATTTGCAGCTACGCTTGCATAAGATCATTGTCGAGGTTTAAGACCAGTTAAAACTAGGTCCTCCCTTCTTAAATATTGCTCCATGTCATCCACTTTTTGCTCCAGCTTGGCAATATTTTTTTTTTGTCTTTTTCAGTCAGCATAGCTTTTAGTGACTTTACTTCCTGCACCAAACCAATCAGTTGTTCTTGTTGAGAAGTTAATTTTGCCAGTTCAGCTGACATAAAATTTAGAGATTTCTTAATCTCTTCCATATTTTTCGTGGACAAATCTTTGTCCTTTTGCACTAGTGAAAAAACTAGGTGAAAAAAATCTTTAAAAAAAAAGAGGGTCATTAGAAACATCTAAACTATGCTTGATACCCTGACAGCTTTTTTCCTTCATTTTGAACCATTGAGAAGAAGCTCAGAGGCTCTAGAGCAATGTGGATATCCTAACTGGGCCTTCCTGAAAGCAGAGAAGAAACCCAAACAGGACTCCAGTCAGCCAACAGGTGAAAAGGAGGAATCCAGACCCAGACCAGTGGTCATTCCATATGTTGAGGGAGTATCAGAGAAACTGAGACGTTTATTTTCTAAACATAACGTCCCAGTGGCTTTTAAACCCCAAAATACATTAAAGACTGGTTCATCCCAAAGATCCAGTCCCCCGGCACAAACAGAGTAATATTGTGTACGTTGTTCAGTGTCAGGAGGGTGATCAGTCTTACATCGGGGAAACTAAACAGCCACTGGCCAAAAGGATGGACCAGCACAGAAGATCAACATCATCAGGCCAGGACTCTGTGGTCTACACTCATCTCCAGGCCAGCGGTCACTCTTTCAGGGATGAAGATGTTCACATCCTGGACAGAGAGGAACGATGGTTTGAGAGAGGAGTAAAGGAGGCCATCTTTGTGAAAAGAAATCGTCCATCATTAAACAGGGGTGGAGCCTCCGGGTTCAACTGTCCCCTCTTACAATGCTGTGATTGCTAGTATCACTCAGCCCTCTGTGAATAGTAAGCAGCCATCAGTGTGCTAATGATCCATTGTTAGGCTGATGGTCCTTCTTGAGCATGTGATCAGCTGGTTTTGGTTGTCAGCAGCAAAACTGGTTGATCCACTCTGAGAAGGTGCTATTTAAGAGACTGAGCTGAATACAGCTCCTCAGACTGAGGAAGTCTCTCAGATGAGAGATGAAACGTTTCTACATTTTTTTTTTGTTTTGCTTTGTTTTGGTTTTTTTGAATGTCCAGAGGACCAGATTGAACTTTTTTTGATTTTTCTACCTGGATTATTGAGCATGCATCAGGATACATTGAGAAGAAGGGCTATCACATTTATTTTTCTTTCTGAGCTTACTCGCTACACCAGTCCTTACTTTTTAAAAGACAACTCATTGTTTGGTTGTTCATAATAACTATTTTGAGTTTACCTGTTTAGGTTATAGCTACGAGCGACTGGATGGGTCTGTTCGAGGGGAGGAACGAAATCTAGCAGTGAAAAACTTCAGCAGCAAAGAAATCTTTGTCTTTTTACTCAGCACTAAAGCAGGTAACAGAAACACAAACATGTTGAACAGATTTTTTTTGGTAGTGTTTGAAAAGAAGGAAAACAAAGCATAACAAATGTAATTTAATATTTGATCGACAGCTGTTTTCAGACATCTTTGGCTTGGCCTAATTTTCAGCCAGTTGTTAAAAGGCTGTGGTTAAAGAATTTCAACTTTTGCCTCACTAGGGCTCAGTTTGTTTATAACCCAGAGATCCTGCATTCTGTACGTCAGCATTTCTTCATATCTGTATCTGTGGCCAAGTTCATAGAGGAAAAAAGACAGATCAAACAGAAATAAGAAGTGCAGTAAAATGAAACGCGTGTGAAAAAGGTCATCAGTTTTTCTCTTTTTTGCTTCTTGTTTTGTGAGCAAAGTGTGAAAATAAGGAGAAAGAAGTTTTATTTCCTGCCACAGCTTTTTACTTTCTATAAGATAGAATCATGGTTCCAACATGCAGAGCAGTCATCACAAAAAGTACAAAAACACATGTGAAGTTTTGCTCTTGGGGACATAAAACATCATCTTGTCTTTACCAGATTATAAAATTAGGTTAACTGCATGTTCAGATTAATAACAGTGTCATTAATTTATCAAAACAAACCCAAAACACATGGTGGTATTTGAAAGACTAAAGTCCTATTCACAGGGGATTAATTTTGCCTAAGGACCAGTGTAATCTCCCCAAAGTCTGCTTTTTATGTGTTGCGTTAGCACGGGATAACCAAAGTCTGAGATTTAGCTGAAATTTACAAACATCTGCCGGTTATGATGTTAACGTGCTGCGTTGTCACGACTGGGCTGGTCCGTATAATGTGTTTAATGTGCGGTCCCAGCCGGTCTCAGGCTTTGATGTGGTTTTACAAATCAGCGAAAACTAAAGAATGCACAATATAACATAGTGTTAATCTACTTGTTGAGGAAGAGGCAGGTTCTACCGGCCGGTTTAAAGAGGTAAAAAAAAAAAAAGCCACATTAAGCTTAGATGGACAGCTGTCACTGGTCGTGAATGTGAGCAGCCGGTGACAGCTGACCCGCCGGTTGAAATGAACTTGCGACCTGTCCAGGATTTACCCAACCTCTCGCACAGTGATGACTGGACATGGGCACCAGTGATCCCACTACCCGAGAAGGAAGAAGTGGGTAAATATATGGATGGATGGATTGCACGCACGTGTCTCCGCACCTCCCGTCATCTGCGGTGAACTGCAGAAGGAAGTAAAAGCCGAAGCGAACAAGAAAAATAAAAACCGGATTCCAAAAAAGTTGAGACACTAGACAAATTGTGAATAAAAACTGAATGCAATGATGTGGAGGTGCCAACTTCTAATATTTTATTCAGAATAGAACACAAATCACAGATCAAAAGTTTAAACTGAGAGAATGTATCATTTTAAGGGAAAAATCTGTTGTTTCCAAATTTCATGGCATCAACAAATCCCAAAAAAGTTGGGACAAGTCCATTTTTACCACTGTGTGGCATCCCCCCTTCTTCTTCCAACACTCAACAGACGTCTGGGGACAGAGGAGACCAGTTTCTCCAGTTTAGAAATAGGAATGCTCTCCCATTCATGTCTAATACAGGCCTCTAACTGTTCAATCGTCTTGGGCCTTCTTTGTCGCACCTTCCTCTTTATGATGCGCCAAATGTTCTCTATAGGTGAAAGATCTGGACTGCAGGCTGGCCATTTCAGTACCCGGATCCTTCTCCTACGTAGCCATGATGTTGTGATTGCTGCAGAATGTGGTCTGGCATTATCGTGTTGAAAAATGCAAGTTCTTCCCTGAAAGAGATGACGTCTAGATGGGAGCTGTTTTATGAGATTATCTTAAACAAAGTACAGGTTCGGGGGATGATCGGAGCAATGAATAAACACTCACAGGCTGTTTCTGCTAGAATAATAAGTGTCATTTATTAAACTGCCACAGATACAGCGAAGCAAAGCACAAGTACATTCAGTACAAATCAAACATTGATGTAAAAGCCCCTCACCGTGACACCGACTGGGGAGCCGTTTCAGTCCGAGTAGAAAGGTAACATCAATTGGCTGGGCATCGGATCAGGATCCACAGCAGACTCCAACTCTTATTCTGAGTGTTACACTTTAATACTCTCTGCATTACGTGGGAACATCTCCCAGTAAACAAAACATGCCCACCTGGACTTAAAGTCTGTGAAAACCCTCGAGATAGGGTGAGAACCTCGAGATAGCGTGCTGGAGGAGGCGGGCCAAGCCTCCTCCTCAGGCCTCTCGGGTGACTCACAACAACATGCACCAAAAACTCTTTATATCACAGGTTAAATAGTCAGAAAAACAACATTTTATTAAACTCTCAACTCAGGAGCATATGTTGTTCTAGAACCTGAACATAGTTCTCTGCATTAATGGTGCCTTTCCAGACATGCAAGCTGCCCATGCCACAAGCACTCATGCAACCCCATACCATCAGTGATGCAGGCTTCTGAACGGACGTTGATAACAACTTGGGCTATCCTTGTCCTCTCTGGTCTGGATGACATGGCGTCCCAGTGTTCCATAAAGAACTTCAAATCGTGACTCATCTGACCACAGAACAGTCTTCCATTTTGCCACACTCCATTTTAAATGACCCCTGGCCCAGTGCAAACGTCTGAGCTTCTGGAGCTTGCTTAGAAATGACTTCCTCTTTTCACTGTAGAGTTTCAACTGGCAACGGCGGATGGCACGGTGGATTGTGTCCACTGACAATGCTTTCTGGAAGTATTCCTGAGCCCATTCTGTTATTTCCTTGACAGTGGCATTCCTGTTTGAGGTGCAGTGACGTTTAAGGGCCCGAAGATCACGAGCATCCAGTATAGTTTTACAGCCTTGACCCTTACGCACAACGATTGTTCCAGATTCTCTGAATCTTTTGATGATGTTATGCACGGTTGATGATGATAACTTGAATGAACCAAGATGGCGCCGGTGTGTAGGGCTGCCCGTCTTTCGCTCTCTGCTTGTATTTTATTTTTGTTATTTTTACAATGGTTTGTGCAGAGTGCCGAGTCATATTTTCAGTATGATCGTCGGGCACTTTTGGAGCTCCGTACTTTTGCTGAAATTCCCGCAGAGTTTTTGAACAGCGGTCAGCACTCTCCCCCACCGGTCCTATCTGAGATTCCTGCGTTCCTTCTGCGTGACCCTGGCCTTTCTCCATGGAGGAAACGTCGCAGACGTCGTGGGAAGCGTGCAGGGATTTTGGTGAAACTGAGGCAAAGTGTGGATTATTCTAACAGGACTCGCTCTGGATCTGATCATCTCCTCTCTGACCCGTGGTGCTCCCGGGGCCCGGCTGCTGGCCAGCTGCCCGCGCGCTCAGTCCATGGAAACACCTGGAGTTGTTTACCTGTGCGCCGCACCAGCAGACCAGGAGGAGCCGTTCTTCATAACCTGCGCCCGCTGGCGCGCGCGTCTCCATCCGCGGCTGTGCCTGTGTTGGACAATATCAAGATATGTTTAATCAACGCAAGGTCTGTTTCCAACAAGACGTTTATCCTCAATGACTTTTTTAAAGATGAGGAGTTGGATTTTCTGTTCGTCACAGAATCATGGATTTCTGATGGTGAGTCCAGCGCCTTGGTGGAACTACTTCCTCCGGACTGTGTATGTTTCAATGCCCCGCGGCCATCAGGTCGGCGCGGGGGGGGGATTATTAACAGTTTTTAAAGCAAACTTTGCGTGTAAACAGTTGTCCATCCCGGTGTCCCGCGCCAGCTTCGAGCTGAGCGCCTTTGAACTTGGACACTCTCCTCCGGTCCTGTGTGCGCTCATCTACCGCCCACCTCGTTCTAAGGACTTCATAAATGAATTCTCTGACTTTTTGGCTGATATCACTCAGAGATACACTCACTTTTTGCTTATTGGTGACTTTAATTTGCATGTGTGTTGTCAGGAGAAGCCCTTAGTGAAGGACTTTCTGGATTTATTGGACTCTTTTAATTTAGCTCAGCAGGTGAGCGGCCCCACCCAAGAACATGGTCACACGCTGGACCTCGTTTTAACACGCGATGTCTCTGTTTCTAATTTGAAAATCGGTGACAATGTTTTTTCAGATCGCATGCCTGTATTGTTTGACTTCACCCCCCCTTGTCCTACTGCTAAGACGTGCGTTCCTGCACGTACACGTTCCATTAACCGTTTCACTGCTGCTCGTTTTAATGAAGGTTTTAATTCTGAGAGGATCGAACAGCTCTCGGTGTCTCTTACCACTGAGGAGCTAACCTCTCAGTTCAACTCTGCCTGTTTAAATGTTCTGGACCGTGTTGCTCCCCTTAAGACCAGAAAAACAAAACTTAAATCAGAGCCTTGGCTGAATGACGTCACGCGAGCCGTTAGGCGGCAGTGTCGCAGAGCTGAACGAAAGTGGAGGAAGGACAGGCTCCAGGTGTCTTTTCAAATGTTAAGGGAGAGTTGGCGTCACTATCAGAAAACCGTTAAAGCTGCCAAATGTAAATTCTTTTCTGATTTAATTGTCTCCAACTCCCACAACCCCCGAGTTCTTTTCTCCACCCTGAACTCAGTTCTACACCTCAGTGAGCCTTCACCTCTGGAAGCCTCAACTGAGCTGTGTGAGAACTTCCTCCATTTCTTTTTAGAAAAAGTGGCAAACACCCAGGCACTCATTTCTCCACCAGCTCATGATCTGTCCATCCCTTCTCAGTGTGTGGCTGTGTTTGACCACTTTGAGCCCATCTCTCTGTCCTCTCTGGAGCAGGTAATGTGCAGCATGAAACCATCTGGTTCCCCTTTTGATGTGGTCCCCCCTCGACTGCTAAAGGAAGTTTTTCCTACCCTGGGTCCTTTTATCCTCGCTATTCTGAATAGCAGTTTATCCTCAGGTGTGGTGCCAAAGACTTTTAAACATGCTGCTGTCCAGCCCCTCCTGAAAAAAACCTAACCTTGACCCCTCAGTCATGTCCAACTTCCGGCCTGTCTCCAGACTCCCATTCACCTCTAAACTACTGGAAAAAATTGTGGAGTCTCAGTTGAAACAGTTTTTGGGGGATCACGCTATCCTTGAGTTATTCCAATCTGGCTTCAAATCTCTCCATAGCACTGAAACTGCTCTACTGAAGGTTTTTAATGACATTTTCATTTCCACAGACGCAGGTGATTCTGTGCTGCTTGTCCTATTGGACCTTACATCTGCTTTTGACACCATCGACCACAATATCCTCATTTCTAGACTGGAGCAGTGGGTGGGCATCACAGGGTCAGCCCTTAAATGGTTTGGGTCCTACCTCTCTGACAGAACCTTGTGTGTCAATATCAAAGATTTTAGTTCGGCATCGACCGCACTCCAGTGGGGGGTACCGCAGGGGTCCATCCTCGGTACCCTTCTCTTTTCTTTATACCTGCTGCCACTAGGTGCTATCTTCCGCAAACACGACATACCCTTTCATTTCTATGCCGATGATTGCCAAATTTACTTCCCCCTGAGGCACAGAGGCACACGCTCTATTCAGCCTCTTCTTGACTGCCTGGCTGACATCCGGGACTGGATGGCTTTAAACTTCTTAAGCTTCAATGAGAAGAAGTCTGAAGTCATGCTGTTCCATCCCAGTGGCTCACTCATGAACCATGACATTGACCTTTTCTCTCTAGCCCCGCTAGAGAAACAAAAGGTGACTAATCTGGGGGTGATAATGGACCCGTCCTTAAAACTCAACAGTCACGTAAACATGATGGTCAAATCCTGTTTTTTTCAGCTGAGACGGCTGTCTAAGCTGAAGCCTATACTCTCCAAAAAGAACCTCGAGACAGTGATCCACGCCTTCATAACATCTAGGCTTGATTACTGCAATTCACTTCTGTTTGGAATCAGTCAGTCCTCCATTGCTCGTCTACAACTGGTCCAAAATGCTGCAGCCCGATTTTTAATTGGTACAGGCTATAGAGAGCACATCACGCCAGTTTTGGCCTCCCTGCACTGGCTACCCATTCACCTTCGGATCCATTTCAAAATTCTCATGTATGTTTTTAAATCACTGAACAGTTCCGCCCCATCCTATCTCACTAATCTTCTGCAGCCATATGTTCCACCGCGCTCTCTGAGGTCAGCAGACCAGATGCTTCTCTCAGTCCCAGAAACCCGTCGTAAGCTCAGAGGTGACAGGGCTTTCTCTGTTGCAGGTCCACGACTGTGGAATGAGTTGCCACTGAGTGTCCGGCAGGCTCCCACACTCTCAGTCTTTAAGTCTCGCTTGAAGACCCACTTCTATTCGCTTGCCTTTAACACGGTGTGATTTGTTTTGGTCCGGTCTGTTCTCTACTCTGTTGGCCATTTTAGTTAGCTTCTGCTGCTATTTAAATCTGTATTTCTATTTTATGTTTTCCTGTCTGCTGTGCATGTTTGGTTCTTTTGTACAGCACTTTGGTTGGCCTTGTTGCTGTTTTAAGTGCTATATAAATAAATTGGTATGGTATGGTATGGTATAACTTAAAAGTCTTTGCTATTTTACGCTGGGTAACACCATTCTGGTATTGCTGCACTATCTTTCTGCGCAACAATGGTGGAATTGGTGATCCTCTTACCATCTTGGCTTCTGAGAGACACTGACACTCTGAGAAGCTCTTTTTATACCCACTCATGTTGTCAATTGACCTAATTAGTGTTAATTGGTCTTCCAGCTGTTCGTTATATGTTCAATTTCCTTTTTCCAGCCACTTATTGCTACATGTCCCAACTTTTTTGGGATTTGTTGACACTGTGAAATTTTGAATCAACATATTTTTCTTTAAAATGTTACATTTACTCAGATTAAACTTTTGATCTGTCATCTATGTTATATTACGAATAAAATATTGACATTTGCATCTCCACATCATTGCATTCAATTTTTATTCACAATTTGTTTAGTGTCCCAACTTTTTTGGAATCAGGTTTGTACTATACCTCTCATGGTCCCTGATGTCAAGCCATTCTTGTTCCTGTTCACGCCTGATGTTATCATGTTATACCATACCATGTTATCTGGATTTTCAACCACACACCTTGCCTTCTGGATTCCCTGTTTTTGCCTGCTCCTCGTCTGGTTTTGGACTCTGTTTTCTGACCACGGTACAGATCTTGTTTCTGAGTATCAATGGGATTAACCTGTCTAAATAAAGGTTGAATCACGACTATGCCTCACGGATCACGACTTGGTTCTGGTTTCTGCTCACTGCCTTCCTGTTCATGACCCTGCTTCGACAATTGGACCCCGTTTTTGGATTTGCCCGCCTACGGACCATTTACAGCACCAGTTTTGCTCCACAGCTGCTCTGCCAGTGATGTAATCGCTGTCACGCTGACAGGTGACTCTCTCCTTCCAGCCTGTGAAGACCTGGTAACTCAGCTGATCCTGACTTCTCTGTCCATCAGCAAAAATAATAAAAACTGTTCTTTTGTACTCCGGTGTCTGGCTTAGGTGGCTGTGTCTGAGCGGGAGGCGGCTGTGATTGAGTGATTACAGCTGTCGTCCTCCAATGCAATAGTTGGGGGTTTGAATCCACCAGCAGTCACATGCCGAAGTGTCCCTGGGCAAGACACTGAACACCTCATTGCCTCCGATGTGTGTCCCATCAGTGTATGAATTTGATAATGCACTGATTAGTCTATTGAGAATGATTTCTTCAATTAGCTTTGTACTTAGGGATGCACCAATCCACTTTTCCACTTCCGATACCAATATCTGAGATTTAATATTGGCCGATACTGCTCTGATACAGAAAAGCAGTGCTGAATGCCGTTAAAAAAACTCAGCGTGCTCTTTAGGGTGAAATCTCTGGAGATGCTTGATTAAGTTGGTAGTGTTATAACTGAAAATTTTATTGACACCCCCGGCACCGTCACTGTGCATGTATTGCACGTAGCTGTCGAATGTGTTGGCTGAGGTAGTGTGAAATAGTTCCAGATGGCTGATCCTTTCGCTCACATCATTTTGAAAACAATCTGTGCGGCGAGTTCGCTAGCGCATGATGTCACTCAGAGTACAAAGCATAGAGTTAGAGTGAATGAATCTGCCCAGGCATGGATTGGTCACATTGTCACTGATACCCAATCCAGAAGTTTTTTTCTATATCGGGACCGATACCAATATTGATCTTGATAAGATAGAAAGGTGCTATATAAGTACAGTCCATTTACCATATTTGAATTCAAAACCCGGTTGTGATATATACTTCATTTTTAGAATAACTTTGTAGTGTTTGCAATGTACATAAACATTTAGTGTAAGCTGCAGTTTGCTTTGGCTTCATTAAATGGTGTCTTTTCAGGGGGTGTAGGCATGAATCTTACAGCTGCTGACACGGTCATTTTCGTGGACAGTGACTACAACCCTCAAAACGATTTGCAGGCTGCAGCACGCTGCCATCGGATTGGTCAGAACAGGTAATGTGGATGGAAAATTGTTTCTAACAAATAACACAGCAAAATGAGCCCTGATCAACTATATTACAGCATATTACTATTTATCAGAAGCACAGGTTTGCCTTTAAAAACTGCTGTTTGCTGCTGTTTTCCCACAGGACTGGGAAAATTACTCTGTAGATGCCATTAGGGTTATCTGTAGCAGCCAACAGCGTTATCTGTACCTCAGTGTGAAAGTGTACTTCCTGTTTGCAACACAGCTTTGCACTGTAATAACACTGTTGCACCTATGATGGGAACTTCCAGTAACATTTAGGGAAATGTATTAAAAAAAAACAACTATTTAAAACCTACCTTTTTTTGTCACAATTTGTTTAGTGTTATAATTAATTAAATTGAATTTCTAAAGTTTTTTTTATTTAAACAAATATTTTATAACTGGTTTGAGAAACCATATTGATAGGGTTTGATCAGTTCATGACTGAAAGTATTTCAGTGAGATTTTTTTGTTTGTTTGTTTGTTTTGTTTTCTTCTGTTCAGGAATGAGTTATCTGCAATTACTAATGTTTTGAATCTGTAAAAAATTAAATTGTTGCCAATTCAGATGGCTCTGCTTGGTGCATAAAAAGGTCACTACTGTTATAGTTGGGCGTTTCTCTTCAGCTCTCTTCTTTACATATTGATGAAGATTTAAACAAGCAAATTTCTAAATTTATATTAATATTCTACAACACCTATTGCCACTGCTTTACAACTCTGGACTTGTGTTTGCATTTCAGACACCCTCTGTCTTTTTCATTAGTTTTATTTTGAATTCCTTCTAGCAAAAATTCATTGAAAAGTAGCTGGATCTCAAAAAGACTTGATGCTGCTACTTTAGTTTGTGTGTCAATTTTCTTTTTTATTTGGAAATATTTTCATTATTCTTAAAGGATATTTTAGATAGTGTTTATTTGGTTATAAAGACAATAGGGTAACTTTGAAGGAACACTTTTCAACATCATGAAGTGTCTTTTTATTTATTTATTTTTTTGGTTGAGGAACAATTATCAAATCTAAAGTAAAGAGCTTTGAATTTATCTTGATTTGGACAAATGGAGTTTAATTCTGACACATTTGACAAGCTAAAATCTAGCATTAGTGTGGCTAAGACCAAAGTGGTTATTTTGTCTTGAAATAACTCAAATCTTCAAAGTTTATTAGCAGTTTATGCAAGCACATTTATAGATAGTATAGACCTTTAAATCACCATACATTTTTGCACCAGATTGTTATTTACACAAAATTATATTGTTATTGGCACAAATACCCACAGTGTCAAGTTGGAGCATTTCTGGTGCAGCCCAAGGCATTTCCAGCAAGAATATCATAATATTTCTGCAAAAAATGTTTGGTGCGCCAGGATGTTCAAGGCATGTGCTGACCAGCTGGGGGAGCCTCTCCTACATGTCTTCAACCTGAGCCTGCATCTCGGGAGGGTTCCTGTTACATGGAAGACATCCTGCCTCATTCCACTTCCTAAGAAGGCACACCCCAAGGAGCTGACAAGTCGGTCGGCTTGACATGTGATGAAAACCTAGGAGCGACTGCTGCTAAAACTATTTAGACCTCAGGTTCACCATGCTGAGGACCCTCTACAGTTCACGTACCGGTAGAAGATGGGGGTGTTTGATGCTATTCTCTATCTTATGCACACGGCTTACTCTCACCTAGACAAGGGAAACGGTGCTGTGAGGGTCATGGTTTTTTTTTTTTTTTACATATTGCACTAAGAGACCACATCATGTCAGGATCAGGGACTGCATCTCCGACAGTGTTTAGCAGCACAGGAGCACAGCAAGGGACCATGTTCTCTCCAGTTCTGTTCACCCTGTACACATCTGACTTCAATCATAACTCAGTGAGACATGCCACATGCAGAAGTATTCAAATGACACTGCAATCATTGAGTATGCGCAGAATGGACAGGAGAGGGAGTACAGGACTCTGGTTGAGGGCTTTGTAGTGTGGTGCAGATCCAACCGTCTGCAGCTGAACATCAGTAAAACAAAGGAAATGGTAGTCGACTTCAGAAGGCCTGTGCTTACCTGAAGCCAATCTCAATTGAGGGGGTCAATGTGGACGTGGTCTGGGCCTATACATATCTGGGCATACAAGTGGATGATAGACTGGACTGGTCAGTGACACGGACTACCTCTACAGGAATGATTAGAGCAGACCCTACGTCCTGAGGAGGCTTGGGTCCTTCAGTATCTGCAAGAAACTACTACTGATGTTCTACCAGTCTGTGGTTCCTAGTGTCATCTTCTGTGCTGTTCTGTGTTGGGGAGGCATCATTAAGAGGAAAGATGCAGGACGACTCGACAGGCTCGTGAGGAAGGATGGTTATGTGCTGGGAACAGAGCTGGAGTCCCTTACATCAGTGGCAGAGAAAGGATTCAAGGTTTTTGTATTGTCATACCAGCTCACATTTGCACGTTTATGGTACGAAATTCATACTCTGGTCCCAGATCAGAAGCCTAACAGTTAACAAATAAATAAATACAAAAGAGTATAAATAAATAAATACATTATATGTATATATTTTGACATACATATATATATACAGTGGGGAGAACAAGTATTTGATACACTGTTGATTTTTTCAGGTTTTCCCACTTGCAAAGCTTGTAGATGACTGTAATTTTTATCATAGGTACTCTTCAACTGTGAGTGATGGAATCTAAAACAAAAATCCAGAAAAATACAATGTATGATTTTTAAATAATTAATTTCCATTTTATTGTGTGAAATAAGTATTTGATACACCAGAAAAATGAAACTTAATATTTGGTACAGAAACCTTTGTTTGCAATTACAGAGATCAGACGTTTCCTGTAGTTCTTGACCAGGTTTGCACACACTGCAGCAGGGATTTTGGCCCACTCCTCCATACAGATCTCCTCCAGAGCCTTCAGGTTTTGGGGCTGTCGCTGGGACACATGGACTTTAAGCTCCCTTCAAAGATTTTCTATGGGATTCAGGTCTGGAGACTGGCTAGGCCACTCCAGGACCTTAAGATGTTTCCTACGGAGCCACTCTGGCTGTGTGTTTTGGGTCGTTATCATGCTGGAAGACCCAGCCACGACCCATCTTCAGTGCTCTTACTGAGGGAAGGAGGTTGTTGGCCAACATCTCACGATACATGGCCCCATCCATCCTTCCCACAATATGGTGCAGTCGTCCTGTCCCCTTTGCAGAAAAGCATCCCCAAAGAATGATGTTTCCACCGCCATGCTTCACGGTTGGGATGGTGTTCTTGGGGTTGTACTCATCATTCTTCTTCCTCCAAACATGACGAGTGGAGTTTAAACCAAAAAGTTCTATTTTTGTCTCATCAGACCACATGACCTTCTCCCATTCCTCCTCTGGATCATTCAGATGGTCATTTGCAAACTTCAGACGGGCTTTGACATGCGTTGGCTTGAGGAAGGGCACCTTGCGTGCACTGCAGGATTTTAATCCTTGACGGCGTAGAGTGTTACTGATTGTTTTCTTTGAGACTGTGGTCCCAGCTCTATTCAGGTCATTGACCAGGTCCTGCCATGTAGTTCTGGGCTCATTCCTCACCTTCCTCAAGATCAATGATGCTCCACGAGGTGAGATCTTGCATGGCGCCCCAGACCGAGGGAGATTTTCCGTTATTTTGTATTTCTTCCATTTTCTAATAATTGCACCAACTGTTGTTGCCTTCTCACCAAGCTGCTTGCCTATTGTCCTGTAGCCCATCCCAGCCTTGTGCAGGTCTACAATTTTATCCCTGATGTCCTTACACAGCTCTCTGGTCTTGGGCATTGTGGAGATGCTGGAGTCTGATTGATTGAGTGTGTGGACAGGTGTCTTTTATACAGGTCACGAGTCCAAACAGGTGCAGTTAATACAGGTAATGGGTGGAGAACAGGAGGGCTTCTTAAAGAAGAACTAACATGTCTGTGAGAGCCAAAATTCTTACTGGTTGATAGATGATCAAATACTTATTTCACACAATAAAATGGAAATTAATTATTTAAAAATCATACGTTGTATTTTTCTGGATTTTTGTTTTAGATTCCATCACTCACAGTTGAAGAGTACCTATGATAAAAATTACAGTCATCTACAAGCTTTGCAAGTGGGAAAACCTGAAAAATCAACAGTGTATCAAATACTTGTTCTCCCCACTGTATATATATATATATACAGTGTGTGTATATATATATATAAAGTTTTAAAAACATCAGATGAAGCTGAATTAAGTGAAGCTCAAGTTCAGCAGTCTGACAGCTGAAGGGAAGAAACTGTTTCTGAGCCTGGTGGTCTTGCTCTGAATGCTCCTCAGCCACCTGCTTGAAGGGAGGGGTGTTCTAACCCCTGGTTAGTTACGTACTGTAACCCCAGATTCTATGAATATAGGCGTAGCCCTTTAAGGCTGTCGCTTAGTGGGTTTATCCCATCATGCGAAGCATTACATTGGAAAATTTAGTCCATGCCCACCTTCTGTGTGGGCCCCACCCGGTCCGTATAAATTACGTTAAGAGCGGGTAATAGGCTCCAAAATAGCTTTTTCTTGAGCCACTTAGGAGCCAGTGAGGCCCGACGCTTAAAGGGCTATGCCTATACTCATAGAATCTGGGGTTACAGTACGTAACAAACGTTCTATTTCATATAGGCTTCGCCCTTTAAGGCTGTCGCTTAGTGGGTTAAGGGCGAAGCGGATGTGGTCCTCGCCTCACTGGATCCATTCGAACACCGTATAAAGCGGAAGCTTGCCCAAAAAACGTCTTGTCACTCAGCTCTTCATGTGCGTAATTACGTGTTGCGTAATTATGTGTACCATGCACAGATGCATGCTGTGTAATTATGTGTTCTGAATGCATGAACGCCCCAGATAAGTTTCAATGGAGGGGAGAAAAGCTGAAAGGAGCCATGAACCAACCGGTTCACGGTTGAACAGTATGAACAGATTAATAATAACAAGTGAACTGATTATAATCAAATGAACTGAT